GTGGGTGTCAGGCGGCCCGAGGGGTAGGGCGGCCCCAGCACTGGGCCCAGCAGGCCTGGGGAGTGGGCACGCGACGGGCTGCGGCTGGCTTCCGACTGCTCCTTCCACAGCAGCACGCGGTTCTGGAGCATCCCCCGGGCCTGGCGAGGTGGGGACTCAGGGGTTAGCCAGATCTGAGCAGCCCCCAGAATCCTGGGGGCTCAAAAGTGGCGCCCTAGACCTGGGGACTTGGGCCCTGCAAGCTGAGGATGAACAAATATTCTAGCTGTTAGGAGCTAAAGATCGGTGGTGTCACCTTGGGTTTGTCCACCGTCGTCCAACCCTCCCTCTCTTTTGTCAAAAGCCCCTCAGATCTCCTTGAAGACCTCGTCCTGCCCCTTTCTGCCTGTGCGCTTTGGGCAGAGTTTTCCCACTGCCCCATACAGGGGTAGGAGTAGAATCCAGGCTGGCCACTCAGGTTGCTCCATCCTCCTGGCTACAGTGATGGACTCAGGGATGGCATTTACCCAAAAACTGTGACCAAAGAATCCAATCCCAGTACTCACCCTGGATCAATCTGGAAAAATATATTCTTTCACCTCATGGGGTTTGCTAAATAGGTGGAATGAAGCCAACACAGGAAACTACAACTAAGCAACAGACAATGGCAAATTTCTGATGATATCTCGTCTGCTCCTGGATCCAGCTATATCTGAAACCCTGCACTATCCAATAACTAAGTAGTAAATACCTTTTCTGTTTTAGCCAGTTTGAGTAGTGTTCTAGAAGAGGCCTTTCAAATACGGTTTTCCCTGGAGTTTTACATAAGCATCCTAAGCATCTCTTTTCAAGTATCCCCAATACATGGGTATCTAACTGCTTAGATACTTTGAAAGACAGGAAACTCAGCATCTGACCATGTATTCCGTAATGACTTGGGGTGGGTGGGCTTTGAATGTTAGACCTGCTGTGCGTATTAATCATGTTTTTAATGTTCTGTATTTTATGTTGCTTTGACATCTCCAGGTCTTGCAAATCCTGGAGAGTTGGCCCCTTCCAGGGCTAGATAATTTCCAGTTATAGTAAACAACTTGCCCTTGAGCACACCTTTTATATGCAGACCAACCAATGCAAACTCATGTCCCCGACCTCTTTCTTTAACTCACCCATCAAGCCAATATTGCCTTTGCCTTAAATCACACCAGAGCCAGGTACCAGATAACTAGATACCACACATATAGCCCACAGCCCACTGAAATTACTCAAACTAGCCAATCCTAAACTTGATTAAACTTGCCTATCCTGCTATGCCCATTCCTTCTGCGGAAGCCATAATCAAGGTCTGGGCCATGCTTTTCCCTCGCTCCTTCTGCCTCTTGACTAACCCCTGCTGCTTCCCTATATGGCCCTGCATGGCACAGCATGACCCCTTCTTTGGGGAACTGTGATATGTAATAAAACTTTTTCAATGACATTGATCTCTCTGTGTCATCAGTCACCTCTATGAGTTAAATCCCAGGTACGATCAAAACACTGTACACTCCAGTTATAAAATTCTCTCTCTTTTCTATTCAAGCATCTCTCCCCCAAGGCCAACCTCAAGATTATACCTTAACAATAATAAAAGCTTCTCTTTCTTGAGCATTTACTCTGTGCCAGGGCCAGGGTTAAAGGCTTTACCTGCATTATTTTATTTGATTCTCACAATAGCCCTGGAAGGTAGGTACAATTGTTATCTCCATTTCATAGAAGTTGCTGAGGGTCAGAGCAGTTAATGACTGGTCTGTCTTGAGAAAGCTTCCTGTGACTGCAGCTTTCAATGATTTCTCCCTTCTCGCTGGCCCAGCTGCTGAAAAACCTCATAGTGATCTCAGGCAGCAAAACAGAAAGGCTCAGAGCCTCATGTCACAGGAGCAACTCATCCAGTTGGTCACTAGGTGGACACCCTCTTTGTTGTCTTGCATAAATAATTAGCAAAACAGAACAAAGACAATACTCCAAAGGTCTTTGTGAGCTTGTTTCAGAGGCAGAAAGCAAAGCGAGACCTTTAGGTTCTGCATACCATATTTTTGAAAGGTTTTTTTTTTTCTCTCCAGTTTGAGAACATTTAGTGGAAAGCAACTGCAGGGGTGCAAGGGGGTCCAGGGGGTAATGGCCCCAGGACCGAGTCCCAGCCTGGATGGCACTCGACTTCGTTGGCTTCCCTCAGCCCTGCCTCCAGGCAGTTTAGCCAGTGGTGGTGAAGAAACACCATAGGCTTTCAAAACCATAAAGGAGACCACGAAGGAATTTTAAAAACATTTGTGCAGTGGAAAAGCCATTCTAACTATGATACAAACCCCATAAGCTATAAAAGAAAAGACTGATAAATGTTACTAAATAAAAATAATTTTTTAATATGGCAAAATGTGCAATAAGCAAAGTCAACTGATAAATGGCAAACTGGGAAAATATTTGCCAAGAAAGGGCTCATTTCAGGAACATGTGGAGATCTCCTACAAATAAGAAACGTGGAGGAAAAAATGCTGACGTTACAGTAAAGGAAATCAAATGGCCCTGAAACATGAAAAGATATCCGTCTCACTTAGGAGACAAATACCAAGTAAAACTACACTGAGATGCCATTTTTTACCTTTCTGATTAGCAAAGATCAAAATGTTTGCTCACATCCATTGCTGATGGAAGTGTGAACTGGTACGACCGAGCCTACATCCTTGGACTCACCAAATGCAACAAACTCGGCAAAGCTGAGGGAGAGGTAGAAGGGCATGTTATCGACTAGACTTGGACTAGGCGGGACTAGTTCTCGGGGACGGAGGAGACCTTACTGGGCCAGGCAGCTGTAATTCTTTAACTCTTGTTCTAAATCTCGTGCGTTCTGCTTGTAGACATAATAACAGGTAAATATTTACACTTAACTATCTTAGGAGTCGGATCTTGTATGTCCTAAAGCCCAGCTGGGTCAGAAGACATGCTACCCAGTCCCCATACCTAGGGGAAGTTGGGCTCATTCAATCCCCCTCCTGAGGGAGATCACCCAGCAGGAGGCAGCCCAATGGAGGGGTCAGCTCTCCTCTTAATGTTGGAGGTTAACTGTTCAGGACATAGGCAGAGGGGAGTTTGCTTCCAAAGAAGGTATAGAAATGGCCAATAAACACATGAAAGGATGTTCAGCATCTTTACCATCAGGGAAATGCAAATCAAAACCGCAGTGAGACACCACTTCACACCCACCAGGATGGCTGCAATCAGAAAGCAGACAATAACAAGTGCTGAAACTGGAAACCTCGCACGCACACTGCCCTAGGGCAGGTAAAATGGCGCAGCCACTTTGGAAGAGTCTGGAAGGTCTTCAAACAGTAAACAGAGTCACCACCATGTGACCTAGCCATTCCACTCCTAAGTATCCACGAGAAATGGAAACATGTCAACACAGAAACAATTACAAAAGTATTCATAGCAGTAGTATTCATAATAACCAAAAAGTAGAAACAACCCAGCTGTCCATCAATTAATGAATGCATAAAGAAAATGTGGTCTATCCAGGCAATGAAACAGTATTTGGCAATAAAAAGAAATGATGTACTGACACATGGATGAACCTTAAAAAACGTGAAGCTCAGTGAGAGAAGCCAGTCACAAAGACCACATACTGTATGATGCCGTTCATATGAAATGTCCAGAAGTGGCAAATCTATAGAGACAGAAAGATAGATGGTTGGCTGGGGTAGAGGGAAGGACGAGAGGATTGGAGCATGACCTCTAAGAGGTACTGTGTTTTTTTAGGAGTAACGAACATGCTCTAAGCTCGCTCGCAGCGATGGATGCGCAACTCTGAATATACTAAAAACCATCAACTCGCACACTTTAAATGGGGGGGTTGCATGGTTTGCGAATTATATCTCGATAAAACTATGTAGAGGAACAATAATTAAGTCCTCCCTGGAGGATCGCTCTGGGAGAGAGGAGAGGCAGGAGATGGCCAAGCCCTGAGCTTGAGCCCTGAGTGGGAGAATGTCACCTGGAGCCAGAGATCAGCCACTGCATCCAACCAGGTCGCCCACCTCTGCTCGACAGCAGGGGGCCCCAGGCTCCAGATACTGAGACTCAGGGAGGGAAGGACCCTGAGGTGGGAAGGCAGGAGTCAGGCTGCTGGCTGTTGGGGGCAGCTGATGCAAGCAGACGGGCCTCCTAAATGGTGGCTTTTGTTTTTATCTTTGAAGGGATGAGTGCAGGGGCAGGGGAACTGGATTCCGCTGATTGTATTAACCTTGTGAGGTGAGGGTTATTTCCTCCTTTTTCAGATAAGAAAATGAGGCTCAGAGAAATGAAACCATTTGCTAGAGTTTACAGCCAGTGCACAGTGGTTGGGAAACGGAACAAAAATACAAAGAAATCAAAATAAAAACGAAATCAGAAAACAAAGAATTCGAAAGTAATGCAAAGGGCAGTGAGGTGGGGGAGGGGCAGGATAGCCTCTGTTTCTGGCATCAGGGAGGAGAGGCTGGCTGGCTGGGTGGGTCTGGGACCTGCATACTCTCTCGGACACAAAATAGAGCCAGAGCGTGACACATTATCTGGGCTCAAAAAATATCTGTTAAGTTACTTGAATGAATGAACAATTGCCATTGGAAAAATGCAGGGAAAAGTCATCAATTTACGAGGGAATGGTGGGAAAATAGTGTCCCAATGTCCCTGGCCCCTCCTCCTACAGATTCCATCAGCCCCTTCTCTCTGGAGGGGTCAAAAGCTAGGCCAGGCAAGGCAGGCAGGCAGGCAAGTCCCCATGCCAGGAGGGCAATTCCCCATGCCAGGAAGGCAATTATGAGGCTTTGGCCCCTGTCGGACCTTTACAGAAGAGAGCAGGATACAAGTTTGCCCACTGCTGGGCTGGCAGGAGCCTGAGGACCTGCAACTGAGAGGCCAGGCGAGGACTAAGACTCGAGGGCCTGAGCGGCGCAGGCCATAGAGACACTTGGGCAGGACGATGTTGAGTGTCTCTCCCGAATGTGGCCTGAGAGGGGATCCTGGCTTTCTTGAATTCTAGGGTTTCACAGGCTTGTGCTGCTGCTAGCCCATAAGGTACCTCTTCATAATTTAGAGACAGATGTCCCCTTGGGATGGATAGAGCCTGGGGAGAGAATGACTTCACTATGCAAAGAAAAAGATGCTCCTCTCTCTAGGCAAACACAGTCTGCACCAGCGTGTTCAGCGTGGAGAGCAGGGCCCAGCCCCTACTCTCAGCCAGGCAGCCCTGTCTGCGGTGGTTCTCCACTGAGTAGGCTAAATTAATCCCCGTCCTCGAGGCTGAGTGAGAGCTCATGCTTGCAGCAGGAAGATCCTGGGCACGGTGGGGTGCCACTGGGGCACCCTGCCCCCCCCCCACATTTGTCAGCATCATTGCCTGAGCCCTTGCAGTTCAGCTCAACCCAGAGTGGGAACAGGGCCAGGAAGAGGCAAAGGGAAAAAAACAAGGCACCTCAGAGGACCCACCGGTCAGGGAGGAGAATCAGGTAGACTACCCAGAAGCTGGAGAAGGGATAACACACTTAACAAGAACTTGAGAAGAGTACTTGCTGCATAACAAAGACCTTTCTTACCCAGACAGAGCGCAATTTTAAGATTTGAAATTGAACAGATGAACTAAAAGAGAGGACAGCCCTGTTGAGAACTGAATCAGTGGCCTGACAGGTCAAGGTTATAAATATCTCAACCTATGGATCAAGAATAAATAAAATAGACATGGTGAGAGAGAAGGTCATAGATGTAGAGATCCAAATGGTTAGAGTCCCAGAAGGAGAAAAAGGTTAGCAGAGAGAATGATAATTTAAAAAAAAACCCAGAAAACAACTCCCCCGACCTGAAGGAAGATTCGAGTCTGCAGACAGAAGGAGCACAGACAAGCACTCACATCGGTGGTGCCAGGACAAGTTCCTGAGTCTCAAGGACACAAAGAAAATCTCCAAGCATCCACATTTTTACTTAAAAGGAAGGGAGACAGACCAGTACCCAGCTTAGCACCTATGACACGGAACACTAGAAACGAGGGAATATCGTCATCTTGGACCACGAGAGAAAGGGCCTGCAGCTCTGGAGTCCGGCAGCTGGCCAATGTGCCGCTCGCCAGTCAGGGTGAAGCGAGGCATTCGCAGATACGCAAGGATTCAGACGGCGAATCTGCAGAAAACACTCTTGGAAGTTCTCTAGCCGCACCCATTAATCCAAACAGAAGCCTCCGGAGAGTGGGAAATAAAAAGGAGTGGAAATTGTGGTGAGCCGCGTATCTGATCGTGTGTGTGGCGAAAGATCAGTGGATGATGACGGTGCACTGGTAATTGTGTGATCCAGGTAAAGGTTCTGGAAGTAGAAGGGCCATGCTGCAAAGAAATAACCAGTGAGGATCCGGAATTTAAAGTCCTGAAGATTATTGGCAAAACTGAAATAGGGAAGAGGCATGAGAACTAAATAATAAACTAAGTCGTATTCAGAGCCTGCTACGTGCTGCTAGGCAGGGAACTTGGCTGACCATGACCAGACCACAATGGGAACCGATGGGAAGGTCCCGCGGACATGACCAACTGCTACTTCCTCACGCCCTCATCGCTGCACACCCGCCCCGAAAGGAAAACAGATTTAAACGGAATTCCTTGAACACCCTGGGTCTCTCAGCCTCTCTCATTTTCTCTGTCTTTGAGAGGAGACCGCGTCTGTTTGTGGAGCGTTATTCCTCCTCTAATAAACTTTTCTTTGTCTCTGACTCTGGTGTGCACTTGAATTCTTTCCCGTGCTCCGTCAAGAACTGTCAAGGACGATTCACCCGAGGGGAATCGTCCTGTCCTGCACCAAAACCAAGAGCTGGGGGTCAGGGAGGAGAAGGGAAGGAGCAGAAACTCCCCATGAGCCTCGTTTTAGTATAGCAGGGAGGGCAGGATGGCTCTTCTCAAGGTCTCATCTCGTGGGGTTGGAAGGAGCGATGGACCGAGTAGGTAACCGATGAATATATGTGGTTATGAGGGTCACAAAGTGAGGTCATCAGGAGTAGAGGTGAGAAGAACAGCTGAATTCGTACATGAATAAAGGGGGAGGCGAATGTACAGAAACTCAGCCAACATAACAGGAATAGGAATGAGAGGGGAAAAAAATGGCAAAGTAAAAACTTTGTTAAATCAAGTTAAATCAAGCTATCCAGAAAGAATAAAACGGGCATATCAGTTGTTAAGTTAAATGGAATGGACCGAATTCCTCTGTTAGAAGGCATAGACTGTAAAACTGGCCGAAAATCGAAACCTGAGCTGTATTTTAGTAACAGAAAGCACGCTTAAAGAGCATGTAGAGAGGGCAATATTAACCTTAGACAAAGCGGAATTAAAAGCGTCAGACTGGATTATGAGAGGCATTTAAATACGTAAATGGCAATATTTACAGATAAGGTATAATACTCATAAATCCAACAGCACTAAACAACATGGCAGCTAAATACAGAAAACAAAATCCATTAGAAAAATCAATGAGAAATAAAAAAATCTGACTGGTCTAGCAGACAGAACAAAGCAAGAACATAGAAGATTTAAGTAATATGATAAATTTAACAGACGATAACTGAATAAACT